GACAGGCACAGGCCAGAGCCGGACGTACTTGTCCAGGGAGGAGGATGAGTCCTTGGAAGAGGGTGTTGTGATTGACGCCCGAAAGAGCACCAGCGTGAGGACGGCCACTACTTCTCTCATCGAGGGCAAGTCCAGGCCCACGTTCATAGCCAACAGCCAGGAGCCCGAGATCAGGCTGAGCACCAGCCTGCCGCCGCCCTCCAGGGCGAGGTCCGCTGGGGAACCGCTGGATTCCGAGGGCAACCTGGGCCAGTGGTCCACGGCTGGGTCCACCCCAAGTCGGTGGACGCTACCCTCCCCCCCCCCCGGAGGATCTGCGGCTGGTGCTGATGCCCTGGGGCCCGTGGCACTGCCACTGCAAGTCCGGCACGATGAGCCGATCCCGGGCTGGGAAGCTGCAGGGCCTTTCTGGGCGCCTCCGAGTGGGGGCGCTGAGCCAGCTCCGCACGGAGCACCGGCCTTGCACCTACCGGCAATGTCCCTGCAACCAGCTGCGGGAGGAGTGCCCCCTGGACTCAGAGCTCTGTCCTGACAGCAACTGCGCCTCTCGGGCCACCACCAGGAACCCTCGCACCACCACTAGAACCTTTCCAGACATCCACCTGAGACGCAGACCCAGCCTGCCTCCCATCCCAGCTCTTGATTTTTGGAAACAGGTCAGGACTGGCCTGGAGGATATTTGGAACAGCCTCTCTACAGTGTTCACAGAGATGCAGCCAGTAAGTGTTAAGTGATGAGTCAGGATCTCTGTTGCCAGATCTGAAAAGTCCTAATATCCAAACCCTATCCAAACCCTGTTGCTGTTCCTTACGTGGTTACAGGTTCATACATGCATGGTTATTCACACTGGTAGCCACCGATTACGCCTACTGTTTCTTGATCAATTTCTGACTGGTTATTAGGCAGCATGTCTCATGGGACAGTAGATGACCACTGACCAAGTCAACAGTTATGCTGTAAGGGCTTCTTGATGTGCAGGTGATGAGTGGCTATGGAGGGTACACATCAATTCAGTTTTGACTTGGTGCGGCTGAACACCCATCAATATGAGGCTCTCCTGTGTGCACTGACCTAGAAGATGCCTCACAACCTTTACCGATGAAGAAACCGGGACAGGGAAGATTTAAACCAGGTTCCACACCAGCACCCATGCTCTTAGGACCACCATCCCCATTCCAAAAAATTGTCCTCCTGGGATTTTCCCCAGCAACTCCAGAGTTCCCAAGGACAGGCCTCTGCTTCCAAGCAGTCTCAACTGGCAGTGCTAATGGGGCCTGCGGGGCAGGGAGAGGCAAGAGACAGAGTATTGTTTGGGTCACTTTGCTGGTTCTTTTTTTCTCCTTGTGTCCAGCACTGTCAAAAATAAAAAATAAAAAAGGCAGTGGGTGAGGGGAGAGGGTTTGTGGGAGATGAAGGAAGGGAAAATAATACAGGTATGTTTTAACTTTTTTTTTCCTTACAGGTAGACAGAAGGCAGAGGTAAATTCCCACTCCATCCACAAGAGGTGTCAGCATTTCAACCTCTCTTCCCTTCAATCCCAGTGCCCACGAGATATTTTTAGTACAGAAAGACTGGAAAAAATGTTTGGTCTTGTGGGGTTTTTTTTTTGGAGATTTATCTAAAAGAATTACAAATCCCTTTAACCCTAAAACTGAACTGCACTTCCTGTCCCCCAGAAGAAAATGTTTATATTGTTCGTATTTACTGCCAATGCATTTTTTTTTTAAGGTTTTGCCATAGGGCGTGTGTACTCCCTGAAGAGAGACAGAGAAAGGGAAAGGGGGCCGGGCGCCTGCCGAGCTCTTGGCCGCCACGGTGACAGGGACAGGCCAGAGCCGGACGTACTTGTCCAGGGAGGAGGATGAGTCCTTGGAAGAGGGTGTTGTGATTGACGCCCGAAAGAGCACCAGCGTGAGGACGGCCACTACTTCTCTCATCGAGGGCAAGTCCAGGCCCACGTTCATAGCCAACAGCCAGGAGCCACCCCCAGCCATGCCAGCCCCTGAGGATCTGCGGCTGGTGCTGATGCCCTGGGGCCCGTGGCACTGCCACTGCAAGTCCGGCACGATGAGCCGATCCCGGGCTGGGAAGCTGCAGGGCCTTTCTGGGCGCCTCCGAGTGGGGGCGCTGAGCCAGCTCCGCACGGAGCACCGGCCTTGCACCTACCGGCAATGTCCCTGCAACCAGCTGCGGGAGGAGTGCCCCCTGGACTCAGAGCTCTGTCCTGACAGCAACTGCGCCTCTCGGGCCACCACCAGGAACCCTCGCACCACCACTAGAACCTTTCCAGACATCCACCTGAGACGCAGACCCAGCCTGCCTCCCATCCCAGCTCTTGATTTTTGGAAACAGGTCAGGACTGGCCTGGAGGATATTTGGAACAGCCTCTCTACAGTGTTCACAGAGATGCAGCCAGTAAGTGTTAAGTGATGAGTCAGGATCTCTGTTGCCAGATCTGAAAAGTCCTAATATCCAAACCCTATCCAAACCCTGTTGCTGTTCCTTACGTGGTTACAGGTTCATACATGCATGGTTATTCACACTGGTAGCCACCGATTACGCCTACTGTTTCTTGATCAATTTCTGACTGGTTATTAGGCAGCATGTCTCATGGGACAGTAGATGACCACTGACCAAGTCAACAGTTATGCTGTAAGGGCTTCTTGATGTGCAGGTGATGAGTGGCTATGGAGGGTACACATCAATTCAGTTTTGACTTGGTGCGGCTGAACACCCATCAATATGAGGCTCTCCTGTGTGCACTGACCTAGAAGATGCCTCACAACCTTTACCGATGAAGAAACCGGGACAGGGAAGATTTAAACCAGGTTCCACACCAGCACCCATGCTCTTAGGACCACCATCCCCATTCCAAAAAATTGTCCTCCTGGGATTTTCCCCAGCAACTCCAGAGTTCCCAAGGACAGGCCTCTGCTTCCAAGCAGTCTCAACTGGCAGTGCTAATGGGGCCTGCGGGGCAGGGAGAGGCAAGAGACAGAGTATTGTTTGGGTCACTTTGCTGGTTCTTTTTTTCTCCTTGTGTCCAGCACTGTCAAAAATAAAAAATAAAAAAGGCAGTGGGTGAGGGGAGAGGGTTTGTGGGAGATGAAGGAAGGGAAAATAATACAGGTATGTTTTAACTTTTTTTTTCCTTACAGGTAGACAGAAGGCAGAGGTAAATTCCCACTCCATCCACAAGAGGTGTCAGCATTTCAACCTCTCTTCCCTTCAATCCCAGTGCCCACGAGATATTTTTAGTACAGAAAGACTGGAAAAAATGTTTGGTCTTGTGGGGTTTTTTTTTTGGAGATTTATCTAAAAGAATTACAAATCCCTTTAACCCTAAAACTGAACTGCACTTCCTGTCCCCCAGAAGAAAATGTTTATATTGTTCGTATTTACTGCCAATGCATTTTTTTTTTAAGGTTTTGCCATAGGGCGTGTGTACTCCCTGAAGAGAGACAGAGAAAGGGAAAGTGAGAATCATCCCCCAGAAATGGCCATGCCACAGTTCCTTCTCCACCTTCCCCTTGAGATTTTGGGTACGCACACGCAGTTTAAGTTTCAAGTTTAAGTTTCAAGTCACCAGGTCTAGGACTCAAACTACAATTGGCCCATGTGAGAATCCAGCGCCTCACCCACCACGCCCCCTGCTGCTTCCTCCAATGCATTTTTTTTTTTAATTATTTTACTTAACTTTATTTTTGAGAGGTTTTGCTATAGGGTGCGTGGGCTTGCCAGAAAGACAGAAAGAGACAGAGAGACAAAGCAAGAAATCACCCCCTGCGGGGGGATGGCCAAGCCGCAATCCCTTCTCCTCCATTCTCATCTCGGGATCTTGGGCACGCACGCACATGCGCCCAGCATGAGTTTAAGCCACCAGGTCCGGGACTTGAACCACAGTCAACTACATGGGAGTCCAATGACATAGCCATTTCACCAACTGCTGGTCCCTATTTATTTAATTTGACCAGAGAGGGACAGAGTGAGAGAGTGAAAGTGTGTGTGTGTGTGTGTGAGAGAGAGAGAGAAAGCGAGAAAGCAAGTAGCAAGATCCAGGACTGGAACTGTGGTCAGCCATATAGGAGTCTAGTGCCCTTTAACAACCACACCACCTGCAGGTCCCCTCGATGCTGTTTTTAAACAGGTACTTTAAAGACTCGAGAAGTCTCAAATAAATGGCAAGAAAAGGGAATGGGAAGAGCAAGGAGTTGAGCAAGATGATGGAGTTGCTCTTGCTTTCACAGGGCTTGGCCCTTACTCCTCAGAAAGGGCAACGATGACATGAAATTCCATCTCAGTCACTTCCAAGGTGTCACCTTCACCAGCCACATGTACCCTTTACTCCAGCACACACCTGTAGTGATTACTCTGCAACTATTTGGCTTACATTTTTTTATTTGAAAAATGTATTTAAAAGTCCAACAATTCTTTTAATATAAATTACGACTCTCAAACCCATTCCCATCACTTTATTGTTAAAAGCGATGGCAGCATACACTGACGAGAAGTAGCTAGAGGCAAGAGAGCACCAAAGGACAGAAGACTGTGTCCAAAGAACAGGCATTAGAATGAGGCTGAAGATCAGGGTGACCAGAGATTCCAGGAGTTCCCTACCTTTCTTCCCGATCCTGCTAACCCTTGAGTCTCTCTAGTACAACCCTCAAGTTACTGAGCTATTTTAGGCCAACAAGATGGGCTACTTTCAGAGCAATTAGCTTGACTAGAACTGAGAGTAAACTGGGAATGGATCTCTATGACTGAGCTTAGACCCTGAAAGACTGCAGGAAATACACAAGAAGGTGAGGAAATCAGAACCACTACAGTGTAAGTGGGGGCGCCCTGGGTGGATGGTGCAATCGGCAGAGTGGATACCAGCTCCCATGTTCCTGGCCCCCACTACCATAAAGAGGATGCTTTCTGTTGTAGAGCAAAAGTGAGACCCCAGCCTTCTCGTCTCAGCAGGCAGGAGCTCATCTGTCTTGTCCTGCCTTCCTAACGACCCTGCAAGGAAAAGGCGACAAGAAACACCTGAGAAAACAAAGTGCCTAAGCCCCTGCTCCTACACTGTAGACTCCTCACCAGGTGGGGAGTGGGACCTGGTCTTCAGACGAAACTCCCTGAGTCTTATTTGTGTCTGGTTATAGGACTAGGGCACAGAAATACAGCTTAGAATTTGGGGAGGCTAAACTGGGGTGTCTCTACTGCTTTTCTTCCCCTACCCACCATACCGTTCCTGCCTCTGCAGTGGCTCAGAGAGCAAGAACGGGGCAGCGCAATATATGCCATCACAGAGGCACGAACCCACATAAGCACCACGCTGAGTGCAGAAGGGTCTGAGGTTACGCACAGCCCTGCGAGCCCTCTTCAAAGGGGGCCAAGTTCATCCAGGGCTCTGGCTACGGATGAACATCGGCATGAGCTAGGGTGGAGGGTGGAGCACACTTCAGAGCTGTGGTTCCCAACTAGGGACAATGTTGCCCCTAGGAGACATTTGGCAAGGTCTGGAGGCGTTTTGGGTTGTCATACTAGGGTGGGTGAGGAATACTGCTAAACAGCCTGTAATGCAATGCACTGAATGATCCTCCATTACACTCAACTAGCCCTACATGTCCAGTGTCGACAGCCTCTATCTACTCCCACGCTACGAGCATCTCCAGACCCAACTCAAAGATGATTGTTTTCCACCTATTCATCTCATCACCCCTCTAACCTCTTCGATCAGGAAGCCCACTTTGAGATATAACACCCTGGTTTTTGCTGCATTCTGGGTTTCTCTCCAGACTGTTCTTCCTCCTCTCACCTGGGCCAGTGGGAAGGTCGGCAGAGGGCACGCCAGGTTCCCTAAGACTTAAATGGAATGTCATCAAGATCCACCTCTTACCGTAACTCTCATTCAATGGGAAGTATGGCTCCTAACAGGAATGGCGTTAACAGCAGAGGTAGTAGCAGGATGGGAATACTTAAGATGCAAATTTTTAATTAATTTTCCTTTTAAAAAAAGTTGCTAAGGAACTAGTAATGCTACAAAAACATTATTGGAGGCCTAACCAAAGACCCTGGTACTGGCAGAGAGAGATTGAGGGGCTGTGAGCTTAAGGTCTGAAACCGAAAGAGAAAGAGTAGATTAGGCAGTGTTCACCCTCCAGCCCTTGCTGGTCTGCTTTAGTTCACAGCAGGAAGAAAGAGGGTCAACTGGGCAGGGAGGCAGGGAGATTCTCAGCAAAGCTGGCTTCAGCTCTGACAGTCTCTCACCTGCCTACCCCATTTAAGGAGTTCCAGGGTAAGAGTTTAAAAACAGGTAGAACCCAGACCATCATTCAGGAGGAGGGAACTCATTCCAGATTCCCAGAGAACTCCTATCTCAGATCCGAGGGTGTCCAGGGCTTCAGCTGAGCGTCTCTGGCCAACCAGTAGTCACGTGGTCAGTCCTGCTGCCTTGACCCCATCTCCAGGAGGGGCTGTAGCCAGAGGGAGTAGAGGGAGTCCAGCCCCCAAGCCAGAGAGGGGAAAGAGGGGCCCTTGGATCACTGGTTCTAGGTGGGATGTGGGAGGGACAGCATCTCTTCTGGGCTGGACACAGATGGGGGACTTCGAGATGGCAGACCTGGACATTAAAAAAAAAAAAAAAAAAATTTTTTTTAAAAGATGAACCTCAAAGAAAACAGAGACCTTAGGAAGGGTTCACCTAATGTAGCATGTAGCATAGACTTCTATCTCTAGTGTGTTCTTTTCTCTATCTCTATGTTTCTACATACCACCCTCCCCCCCTTCTGGATCCTACATTTAAAAAAATTTCTTTTATTTGCAAGAGGGCACATGCATTCATCAGAGATAGAAACAGAGGGGAAGAAGACACTCCCCCAATGGGATGTGGTCATGCCACAATGCTGTCTCCTCCATTTCCCCACTCCGTCAGGATTTGGGCACACTCACGAGTGCCTTGCATGTTTATCAAGCCACCAAGATAGAGAACTGAACTGCGCAGTCAGCCATGTAGGATCTGGGCCCCTTGATCACTAGACCCTGGAGCTGGCCCTGGATCCTCCATTCCTCTCCCCTCCCCACTTCCTATTCTTATATCAGAGCATTAGGATTCTTTTTTTTTTTTTTTTTAAGGTTTTTGTCACAGGGCACATGTATTGACCAGAGAGAGACAGTGAGAGGGAGAGTGAGAAATCACCCCCACAGGAGGGATGGCCACGCTGCAATCCCGTCTCCTTTACTCTCCTCCTGGAATTTTAGGCACGCATATGCGTCCAGTGTGAGTTTCAAGCCACCAGGTCTGGGATTCAGATCGCAGTTGGCCATGTGAGAATCCAGTGCCTTAGGACCAGCAGTTAGCGTAATGGCTATGTCGCTGGATTCCCATGTAGTGGACAACGGTTCAAGTCCCAGACCCGGTGGCTTAAACTCATGCCGGGCGCATGTGCATGCGTGCCCAAGATACGGAGAGGAAAATAGAGAAGGGATTATGGAGTGGCCAAACAACCAGCGGGGGGGGAGCTTTCGTTTTTTTTCTTGCTTTCTGTCTCTCTGTCTGGTGAATGCACGTGCCCTATGGCAAAAAACTCTCTCTCAAAAAAAAAAAGAATCCAGTGCCTTAACCACCACACCACCTGCTGGCCCCCCCTTTTATTTTTCTGGAGAGGTTTTTGCTATAGGACGCATGCACTCGCCAGAAAGACAGAGAGACAGAAAGTGAGAAATCAGCCCCCGGGAGGGGATGGCCACGACACAATCCCGTATCCATTCTCCTCTTGGAATCTCGGACACATATGCACATGGGCCATATGTGAGTTTAAGTCACTGGGCCCAGGACTCGAACCGCAGTCCACTACAGGGGAGTCCAGCGACATAGCCATTATGCCAACTGCTGGTCCTTATGCTGGCCCTTTTTAGGAAAAAAGTTTCCCATAGGGTACATGAGCTCACCAGAGAGAAAGAGAAGGAAAATGAGGAAACACCCCACCATGGGGAATGGTTGCATCGTATCTCTTCTCCATCTCTCCTCCTTTTGGGATTTTTTCAGTGTTTTCCAAGCTGTAGGGTCCAGGACTTAAATTGCATAGTCAGCTCTGTGGGATCCAGCCTCCTCAACCACCAAGCCACGGGTTAGTCTGGAGGATCAGGATTCTGAAGCAGGCTGTCAGATGTGTCAGCACAGGGCTGACGTATTGGGTGTGTTTCTGTAATCACTCACCATTCCTATTGGAGCTACAAGCCCCTAGAATTGCTCCATGGCCTGTCTCGGTTTCCCTTGGACCGCATCTGCTCCTGAACTGCGCCTGTCTGTGAAAAAAGCACACGTGAGCGATGTCCCTCCTAAGTCTTCATATCCCACCAGAAGAGGCTGATGCCCTCTTCTGACATAATATCAATCTGAAAAGGTTAACCTATCGTTCCTCACAAGGGAATCACAATGGCCTTCTTAAGGATGAGGTAAAAGGGGTCTCATAGTAATAAAATTTCCCTCACAAAGGACTCTCTCTCGTGTGTGTGTATTTAAATAATTATTTAATTTTATTTATAATTATTATTTTCTTTTTTAAGAGTTTTTGCCTCAGTGCATGTGCACTTGCCAGAGAGAAGAGACCAGTAAGAGGGAAAGTGAGCAATCACCCCCAGAGGGAATTGTTACGCCACAATCCTGTCTCCTCTATTCTCCTCCCAGGATCTTGGGCATGCACATACATGCACCCAGTGTGATTTTCAAGCCACTGGGTCCAGGACTCAAACCACATTCGACTATGTGTGAGTCCAGTGATGTAACCGCAATCCCATCTGCTGGGTCTATTATTTTTTAATTTAACCAGAGACAGAGAAAGAAAGCAAGCTACCAGGTCTAGGACTCAAACCACAGTTGGTCATGTGAGAGTCCAGTGTGTTGTTAACCACCATACCACCTGCTGGTCCCTCTCACATATACGAGCTTCATAACTGGTGAATAAGACTCCTTCACTCTCTAGACCCACTTCTCTTATTTTGAAAGCAGACAGGAATCTTAGACATCATTAGGACAGAAGTTCTCAGCCCTTTTCCTGCTCTAATACCACCAACACAGTATGATTTTACTGTTACATTGAGGAAGCTCTCAATTAGAAGGGATGATTATGGTTTTTGGAAAAAGCCCTCCGACCAGTATTTTTTTCAAATTTATTTATCATCATTTTTAAAAAAAATTTGTTACATGATACGTGCACTCACCAGAGAGACAGTGAGAGAGAGAGAGAGAGAGGGAGAAAAAGCAAGACTCCAGGTTCGGGACTCAAACCACCATTGGCCATGTAGGAGTCCAGCACCTTAACCACCATACCACCTGCTGGCACCCCCAATTACTGGGTCATAAGAAAAGTCATGATTTACCTTTCCACAAAAAAAAACATAGAAAAATATATCATGACTTTTCTGGAAACCCAATATTAAGACATATCGGGAAACTGGGGCAGGCACGTGGCATGGTGGTTAGAGGCACTGGATTCCCACATAGACCACGGTTCGAGTCCGGACCTTGCAGCTCGCTTCCTTGCTTTCCCCTTCCCTGTCTCTCTGGTCAAATTAAAAAATAACAGCAACAAATGAAATTAAATAATTTAAAAAAGACTTATTAGGAAACTGCAAATAAATAAATAAATAAAACCTGTGGGGGAAAAAAGGAATTAAAGTATAAACTTATTTCAGTGCAAAAAAGTTTTGAAATCCAGGCAATTTTTCCTACAATATGCATTTTCCAAGAACCTTCTGAAGACCACTCATGTGTACCTGCCACCCCAGTAAGAATAATTTGCTCATTGTAAAGATGAGGAAACCTAGATCCAGACACCAGAAATGCCAGGTCTCAGGTCTATGAAACTAGAGACCAGGACTGGAACCCCAGGTTTCTTGCTTCCCCACGTATTTTATTTTATTTTTTAGAGGCTTTTGGTATAGGGTGCATGCGCTTGCCAGAAAGACAGAGACAGACAGAAAGCGAGAAATCACACACACACCCCACCCCCCGCCGGGGAGATGGCCACGCAACAATCCCTTCTCCTCCATTCTCCTCTTGGGAGCACACATGACCAGTGTGAGTTTAAGCCACGGGGTCCGGGACTCAAATCGTGGTTAACTACATGGGAGTCCAGCAACATAGCCGTTAAGCCAACTGCTGGCCCCATCCTCGAGTATTTTGTTATGTCCTTTGTGTGAACTTTCAAAAAGAGGAACGGTTATAGACCACACCCCCCATCGACCTCTTCCCATTCCCTCGTTACCATAGCAAGTCCATCTCCGGCCCCCATCTCCCCAGAGCCAATATGAGTCAGGTGGACAAAATTCATTGGTTCCCCAATCATGGTCCGGTCAATCCGTCTCCTCTTCTTCTTCTGCTTGGAGAAGACAAGAAGTCATGTCTGAAGCCCCCTCCTTCAGCCACAGTGGGGGAAGGGAAAAGAGTCTTAAAAACCATGAAAGAAAGAGCTATGGGCCTGGTGGAAGGGATGTGGCATTATCACAGAGAAATCACTAGGGTCTGAAAGGCAAGGACAGAACAACATAAACAGGAAGACAAGGACCAGAGTGGTGAGGGCAGGGGCCTGCAGGGTGAATACCGGACAGAGAAAGGACAGGTCAAAGTCACCTCTGACTGATGAGGAAACAATGGGAAGACTGACAGGTATTAACTGCCAACTACACCCCTGCCCAGTTCAAAGTGGACAGGCGGGTGACAGTCAGGACTGTACACTTCTTCCATCGCCCAGCGCCCTTTGTCCCACGTATACACCTGCCCGCCAGGGAAACTGTTCTGACAGAGAGGGAGGCAGAAGCGTGCTTTTTAGACGGCAGATTCCGGTATGTCTACCTCACAGTATCCGGTAACTGATGTTTGGGGGGTGGGGAGACTCACCGGCTGGGGCTTCTCTACTACGCAGCAGCCCAGTTTGTGCCAAAATTCACTCATGTTCGCTGAAGGTTCCAGCTTCACCTCTGTCGGAGGCCCCAGGGGGCTCTTGCTCCAGTGCCCTGACCACCCACTCCTCAGTCTCCCTGGGTGTCGCAGCACCAGGAGTTCACTTAGTTGAACAGGCCCAGACACAGTGGAATCCTCAGTTCTCGAGCTGCACAGTGAAGGTCAGTGTCCCAGACCCTGAGACCGGCAGGCAGACAGAAAGGTGGACAGCCAGGGACAGCGTATGTTTTCTTCAGACTTGGAACCCTGGATTAGCCAAAAGAGAAAAGAAAGTTAACGAAAAGTCCCCTGTTCCCCAATCCTTGACCAACCGTATCTTCCCAGCCCACTCCAACCCTAAACTTCTCCAAACCCCACAGCCTGACTCTCAGATGGAAGAGCAAAACCAAAAGAATACCAAGGAGTCAAGGAGAGTGACTGATGGTACCAAGGTCAAAGAAGGGACCTGGAAGCACTTAGGGCAAGAGAAAGGGCAGGGACCAAAGGATCTGGCAGAAATGACCGAGGTTTGAGGGTGCTACCAGCTCCAGCTCCCACCTCCCTGGGTTCAGGGGAGAAGAGGAGGGGAGGGGCATTTAAGTGACTTTAAAGAGGAAATAGTGGTTTTTTGTTCTCGCAAACAAGGCCTCCACCCTGCCCCTCCCTTTCGCTTTACCTTGCTCCAAGAACCTAGATTTTCTTCAAGATCAAAAGAGGCCTTGGCCACCCAGGTTCTAGGAGACTAACAGTAGCATGTTAGACTTCCAGAAAGACTTTCCACAGTGAGGAATGTCTTCCCTCTCAGTTCACTGCCTTTGTTCCTTCTCATTTCCCTCAAGTGAGAGCCAACCCCTCCCAGAAGCCACTTAGCAATGCCTTTATTACTTGACCTTGAGATCCTTCCTGAAGGTTGTGTACGCTCTGTGTATCTGTGTCCTGCATCACCGCACCTGTGTGTACATTCCCTATCGGCACACGCGTGGCATGGCGGCATCTCCGCGTGTGTCCTGTACAGATCACCCACACTAATGCTGGGTATCTCCCGTCCCAGAAGTCTCCTTCCAGCCTCCCCACCCTCTTCACATGTCCTGTCGTGCTATGCTACTCGGCTCTGCCTCACACCCTATAGGGCCTGAGCCTCCCTCTCTCCTCCCCTCATGCTGTGACCTGTCCTCTCCTCTGTCCTCCTCACTTCCACACCCCCAGCTTCACCAGCCAACCAGACGCAAGGAACTTTACAGCAGTACTAGTGTCCAAGGGAGAACTCCCTCCCCTTCTCAGGACTGAAGGCCAGGGTAGGGCACACCAGGGTTTCCTCTAGAATTAGGACACTGTCCTAGTCTTACAGTATAGACAACCTCAAAGATCCCAAAGAAGGCAATTTCACGAATATCATGCTTTGAGATAAACAGGAAACGACCATCCTTCCAGATGTCGAGTTCTGAGGCTCAGGTGCTCTAGACAGATTTTTTTCTTTTCTTTTTTTGGAGAGGTTTTTGCTATAGGGTGTGTGCACTCGCCAGAAAGAGAGAGACAGAGAAACAGAAAGCAAGAAATCACCCCCCAGGGGGGATGGTCATGCCGCAGTCCCTTCTTCATTCTCCTCCCGGGATCTTGGGCACGTACGAACACGTGCCCAGCACGAGTTTAAGCCGCTGGGTCTGGGACTCGAACAGTGGTCGACTACATGGGGGTCCAGCAACACAGCCATTATGCTAACTGCTGGTCCCCCCCAGACAGATTTTAAAACTTTTTAACAGCCTTGAGATGAGATCATGCAAACACTGAAATGTAGCTTCCAAGGAAGGGAAGAACCCAGGAGTCCAGGCTTTTTCTTAACTTCCCTTCCCACCACTGGAAGGGAGGAGTAATCACACAGAACGGAAGTCAGAGCCCAGCAGTCCAGAGAGGGGAGCGAGTCAGTGACAGGGTTTGACTTGGTGGTGGCAGCAGGTGGTTAGAGTTGGGGGGATGGAGAAAACAATGAAGAATCAGAGGAAACCCCCAACACCACCAGACAGGCTGTATTGAGACTGGGCACTCCCCAACACCCCCACCCTGCTCAGAGCTGAGTGGACAGAGGTGGATGGTGCTGGGAGGAGAGAGGAGAGGGAGGGAGAGGAGGAGGAGAGAGGAAAAGGGGCCTTGGAGGAACAAGGACGTTTCTGTTTCTTTTCCAGGGACCTGACCAGAGCTGGGTGGAGGGAAAGTGTGTGTGTGGGACTTGGCATGAAATGACCTATGATGAGAAGTGACCGGGAAATTCCACTCCTTAGGACATCAGGGTCTCAGAAACTTGGGGGCGGGGCGGGGCGTGAAGAAGGCAGGCAGGGTGAATGCTGCGGCGGTGGTTCAGGGTTGGGGGAACAAGAACGAGGCCAGAGAAGGAAGTGAGAGCCATTGGCTGTCACTCTCCAAAGCAGCCTGAGAAGACTGTGTGGAGGAAAAATGGAGTCCTGAGTTTGCAAGCCTGGGAAGAGGCCGGAGCCCACTGCCCGCTATTTAAACCCCTCGGTGAAAAGGAAGGGGCTGGGAAAACAACAGGAGGGACGAGGGTCAGACAGGCAGCAGGGGCAACATCCTGACAGCCAAGAGGCACAAGGACCCTGGCCCCTCCGGGTCCCAAAAAGGAAGAGGGAAATACGGATGGGGACAGACACCCCCACTGGCAAGGTCACATGAGGACGTAAGGGCCTGACGCTGGTGGGGGGCAGCAGAGACGCGGAAAAGGTGCTGGGAGGAAGGATGCACAGGGGTAGTTCCCCGGTCCTGTTCTAGCCCCAAACCGGTTTTCCCGGTCCCGCTGCCTCCCGCCCCAAGGCCTCCAACCCGCTGCCTGACAAGCCTTCACAAGCAGCAGCTGGAGAGCAAGACCGAGGGAATGGAGTGGGCAGTCCTGGCTGCCGGCCCGGGGCGGCAGATGGCCCCGGTGAAGAGACCCCCGGACACGGAGAAGGGGGTGGGCCCCACACGTCAGCCAAGCGACAGGCACCTGCCCTTGCACTGCCAAGCCCGTCCTTCCCAGGAAAGACCTAGTGGGGGCTTCAAAGGAAAGACCGGGGCCTAGGCCTCCAGCCCCAGTACTCACTCCCGCGGCCTCCATTTCTGCGCGCCCGCAACCCCGGGTGCGCGGCTCCTCCCGACACCGAGCTAGCAGTGGGCCGGCTCCGGGAACCTTCCTTGCTGTCACCGTCTTCCGCGGCCCAGCTCCGCCTCGCCGGTCGGGGCGCGGGTCCCACGGAGGCTAGAAACGCTCCGCCTCGCACCGCCCGGCGCGCAGTCCCTTCCCCTCCTACGCCCCGGGGCGCGCGCAACGGCGCGGGCGGTACCCGGGGGCGACCCTCCGCCCACCCCCC